TTTCGTTCTTTTTTTTTTTTTTTTTTTTTGTCTTTCTTCCGCAACCCCGCAGGCTGGAGTACAGTGGCCGGATCTCAGCTCACTGCATCCTCTTCTTCCCTTTCGACTGTTTTGAAATTTATATGCGTGTGTAAAAATTGTGAGCTTCATAAATTGTGTACTTCATAAAAATGGAAACCACAGAAGTTGCGAACTCCATCAATTTGGTCTCCGATAATGATGTTCACTTGGCGATTTCTTGCACAGCAGAGCGATGCTCTATGAGGCGCGGTTGGAAGTGCGGGGCGGGGAAATACGTACTCTGCTGAAATACGTATGGAGGGTTATGTAATGCTAACAATCTTTGCGAAGTTGGATGGAAAAAACCGACTTCCTTGCTTCTTATCCGTATCTTCGCAATTTCCGCAACATGCTAATGGATCCCACACAATTGTCGCCGCAGTCAAGGGGATGGTACACGTTCGTCCAATGATATCGTGAGCTATAAATCCACGCCGAAGTTCATAATTCGCATAATAAAGGAAGCATTCTTGTTTTTTTTATGTGTATACCTCTGTAGAACTAAAAGTATATAAACATATAGAAGTACACAGGAAGGGTGTGTATTGTGGTACGTACAATGTGTGTGCGTGCTTGCGCATGTGTAAATACGTGAAGGCACACAAAACACGCATACACACGTGCGTGTGCCCGTATTTTGTGAGCGCTTGGATTTTTTTTTTTCCAATTTGGCTGTTTTGTTCATACAAAAATGGGAAATTTTCTGACTTTTTTTTTTTTTTTTCTTTTGCTTCCTTTCTTTCGCTCTTAATTTTGGCTATCTTACATGTAGATAGCATAATCAATTGCGCGCTTCTCTCATTTGTACATTTTTATGCTATAAAATCCGGCTGGATACTTGTCCCTCTTCGTTCCGTCGCAGTGTTGCAGTGGCACATGTGAGTCTTGCTAGGAAAGCCTTACTGGCACTACACTAGCGCTCGCACGAGTGACTCAAAGCAGTAGCGACAAATCATAAAGGCTATTAAAGAAAAATCAAACGGTATAGGCGGGCATCCGAGGGAGGACGTGCCTTGGGCATCTACGCTGCTGTCACCTAGTTGTAAAAGGGGCAGGTGTCAAGATGTATCATCACGCGCAATGCCCAGGTGATGGTGCCGCGAAGCGGAGAGGCAACGACAGAGGGTAAGGTGGTAAACGTGATAAATGTGGCAAATGTGGTAAATGTGGCAAATGTGGTAAATGTGGCAAATGTGGTAAATGTGGCAAATGTGGTAAATGTGATAAACGTGGTAAATGTCGTAAATGCCGTAAATGTCGTAAATGTGGTAAACGTGGCAAACATGGCAAACGTCGTAAACGTGACAAACGTGGCAAACGACACAAATTCCAACGAGGCAATCAATTCAAATTTACCACAACTGCAGGGGCGCACTAACGCAACAGATTGGCTTCATATCACGGGGGGGGTGGATAAGTTAATTCGTCATATATATGCATAAGTACGTACCTATGTACTTGCGTGCTATTAAACCTATTTTGAGCTGCTTCAAATTCCTTCGCAAAGTGCAATTTGCATCTTACGAGTACCTGCACGGAGTGCACAAAGAAAAAGAAAAAAGAAGCGTTAGCGGCGAGCAGAGTTTTATCAAAGTTTTCTTTCGTAATGATGGGCTATACCAACAACGCAGGTTCAAAAGATATTCGCGCGTGCGTAGTAGTACGTGAATGCCATTAACAGGTGCATATAAACAACGTACACATGCTTAAAGCGTAAACGTACGTTTGCTTGTGGTACGAAAAAGCGAAAAAGGGTATGCGTGCGCAAGGGTCAGCTTAAGTGCGAACAGGCAAAGTGGGCATTCGCACGGGTAATAATATACACGTTTTTAGGTTCACGTGGGGATGATAATACGTATACAATGAGCGTAGTATAACATGGCTGCTTCGCCACGGCAGCGGGGATTTATTTGTCCCTGTGAACGTACGTACAAGTATATATGTAGTATTTTATTTATACGAATGTTAATGGACGTATATATATTATATATAATAAATACATAGTACTATCCCGTTCACGCGTTTATATATACAGAGGTGGGGGGGGAGAGGACTCTCATCACGTAGTGCATATATATAAAAATATAATATGTAATATATACAATATTTATACATTGGTACATACGCGGGCGCAAGTTTGTAATGTCAATGGGATGGCAGGCAAATCTCAGTTCGTGTTGAAAAGTTCGCACAGCTTGACGCGTTTTTTTTTTGTTTCTTTTTTTTGCTTTATTTTGTTGTTTACGTTTTTTTTTCTTCCCTTTCTTCCTTCTTCTTCCTTTTCTTCGTTTTTTTTTTTTTGAGTAATTTTTTTAATTTTGGTTGTCCCGATGGGCGGTGAACAAACCAAACCGTGTTTTGTTCACCTGGTTGTTCACCTCACAAGTTCAAAATTGCATATATTTTGTTTCGCTCGGCGCTATATTTGTACCTCGTACGTTTCTGTATTTATATTTACAATATATGTATACAGTACATGTGCGTCTGTAAATACGTCCGTCAGATGACGCGTCCCAAGCCGTTCCTCTGTTCACGCGCGGTTCACACCTTTACGCATGTTCGTTCGTGGGGGAAAGGAAATAAAGAAGTGGCCCCCGGAGTTATCCGTTTTTATATGCGACAAGAAGGGCAACACAGTTACATGTGAGAAATGAGTAAATCAGCACAGCATGTGCGAGGAGAACAGTTGGCCATTTTGTTACAACGCGGAGCGTGCCAGGTGTACATATATAATAACCCTCTTACATGTACATATAGCTGTGCGCGTACAACTACTTTTGCTGAACCAAATTATTGCATTGGACGCAAGGCCAACCATGCACACTGCGGCTCCTGTGCATTCATATTCCATCTGGCACATTCCGGTCCTGCCTCCCCTTCTTTTTTTTTTTTTTTTTTCCTGTTTCGCCCTGTTCACCAGATGTACTTGCAATTTTGTCAAAATAAGTTCCCTCGCCTGGTCTCCTTCATGGGCATTTGTGTACACGTGAAGACGTCTCCCGATGATCACTTGATAATTACGTGGACGTTCCTGCGTCATGTATACCTTTAGCGCAGTTCGCGGGACAAATAAGCACTCGCCATTATGCGAAGCGTATTTTAACTCGCAATGGGTTCTTTACCTCCCTCTGTCCCCATGCCAATTGTGACAAAAATGAACTGAAGAACAAAAGTGGGCGAACATATGAAAAGATACCCCGCTCTCCCATCGGAAAAGTATAACATGAGAATGCTGGCTTCTTAAGAGATGGGTTGCCAACCATTGCGTGTCAACAGATTCCCCCGCCCCCCTTAGTATTCATTATCCTGAGAGCTAGGCGGTTACCCTTTGTGCTTCTCTTCTCAGTGCCACCTCCTAACGCGAATTGTAAACTCCTTTCCTTTTTACGTATACTTGCCGTTCACAAGTTGAAGTGGAACGAGGGAAGAAGGCGAAAGCTCAGCGCCTGCCGTGCGTGTAACGCTGCTCGTATGCCGTGGACACAGGGCGCCAAATGGACGAGCTGATATATTCTCCCTTTCTCCGTACACCACAATGGCAAATCAAATCACCTTCGCCAATTCCTGTCGCCCCGTGAATTACTCACATCGACCTTATAACACCCATGTGTTAAAAGTGCACACACACAGGGCTGCACAAGTGAGGAGAAATGAACAGATCTGTACCCAAGGTGAGTTGTAATTTTTTTTTTTTTCCTGCCCTCCCTTATTGCTACACCTTCACAGTGTGAGGAACTATTTTATATGCACAGGTGAGTAACGCCTTTTAGTTTGTGCCCCCTTCTGTTTTCATCGCCAAGTGTGTGTATGGGAGCTATTCCCTATCTTCTCTGTTACCCTTTCCCCATGTTTTGTGTCCAGGGGAAGTACTTACCCAAAGGCGAAATTTATAAAGGCTGAATGGAGCTCTCCAATTAGGCGTACGCATACGTGTATGTGTGTCCGAGTCCATTTGTCTATCCTTTTAAAGGGCTTCCCAAACAGTCATCGGTCGCAGGCGCAAAGGGGGGCATTAACAACAGTGGAGAGAGAAACACGTAGTATATTGGCCATGGGAATTTCTCCAATTGTCAATACAGTAGGCTCATGTAAACAGGGTTAATCGTCTATCTTTTACCTTACCAGCTACGCAAAGGAAAAAAAAAAAAAAAAAAAAAAAAAACATCGTAGTGCCCCCTTTTAATCGCTTTTCCGTATGAACCGTTGAGGCGATTTGCACACCAATATGTAGTTAAGGCGAATGCCCAATTTAACGGTTTTGCTCTTACGGGCCAAGTGGGGCACGTGTGAAGTGTCATATAGATACATACCCTGGAATAACTTCTCCCTTGGAAGGAAGTTCGATTAAAGTGAAAGCAGTAGCGATAAGCTTATAAATCTTGTTCATTCTCTTCCTCCTCGATGAAGGGCGCGTTCGTCGAAAAAAAAAAAAAAAAGGAAATAAACGAGCTAACATTGGTAGTGGTCTCGCCCCCCCTCCTTTTGCGTATCTCACTCATGCATCATATGTATATCCACGTCCGTACTGGGTTCATTCGTATGCGCCTCACTCCTAAAGCTTCCCTATTTTATCATTTTCACAAATGGCCAGTGACCCGCTTTTGCACGAATTCGCGGCATTTACACGATGGCCCCCATTTTCTAAAGCCGTAAATGAGTTCGTCACGTGGGGAAGTCTTTGTACAAACGGGACTCTCCGAATAATCACACTTTGGAGTCCTATGTGGAAAAGAAAAGCAACCCTTGCATATACTATGCCACACAGGTTGAGAAGTAGAACACCCCTTGGGGGAGGGAGGGCGAACTGAACAAAGTAAGCAAAGTAAGCTATTCCAAACAATAAATGAGTGCCCCCTCAAAGTGAGGGAAGCAAGAAATGTTCATTATTGTCCAATCGAGGGGAAGTCTTTTTTTTTTTTTTCTGTTTTTTTTTTTGGACTTCGTTCCATTCGGCTTTCATGTCAACCGTAATGAGCGTAAAGCCATAAAAATATGTATGCGATTTGACTCATTTCGCCCAATCGTGGTGTATTCAAAATTGGTCATTCTGCCACCTTCTTTGATCGATGCGTCTCTACAGCTAAAAAGCGAAACTTGACTAAATGGAGGGAAGTTCCCCCCCCTCCTGTGGTTAAAAGAAACTTCCCCGTTGAAAGCGATCCCTGCCCTCCTTAGCGAACGTAAAAACGGGGACCACAATGTGGGGTGACAAAAATGGAAAAGCATCATGCAAAATGCAGAAGCGTAGCTGGTCCCAGCGTGGTTGACCCATTTTGGTGCTCGTTCAAAATTTCCATTATTCCGAGAAAGAAAAAAAAAAATACAAGAGATACGGGGTAATTCAAGTTCCCCCCTATGACATCCTTTTTTCTTTTTTTTTTTTTTTACGCAATAATGTAAATTCCGCACAAACGCAAAAAATTTATTCATCTTTTTTTCTAAAGGTACCTTTGAATTAGGTAAAGCGGGGATCCTCTCCTCTCCGGTTTTTTTCCCACGTGGTGCTTCTCCACTGATTTGTTCGCTGGTTCACCAAATTGGCTACGTAAACTCTTGCCGCCCCTTTCTGTTATGCCGTAAAAAGGGGGATAATAGCTTCCCCGCTCCGTAAGCCCATTAGCAGCGCCTTTGCAACCAGGTGACAGTAAAGATTTGTTCCTAACTGCATTGCAACCAGGACGAAAAACAGCAGGGACAAATGGTAAGCGCGGCGAATCCGGCAGCGTAGAGCTCCTTTTACACCTCCTTCTGTTGGCCAACCTACCCAAACCCTCATGCCATGCAACGCCCACTTTTTGCAGGGGAAGTTCAAGAAAACGCAAAAGGTACTTAAGCTGAAGAGGATCATCAACCCAAAAGACAGCAGGCTTCAACAGAACGGCCAAAAGGAAGTAAAAAAAAATATTCACAAAAATGACGAGAAGGTAAAACAAGTAACCCAGATAGATAGTAACCTATTTTTTAATTACAATGAAAATCTGAGTCCACCATATAATATAATCCTTGACACGAACTTTATAAACTCCAGCATACAATATAAGTTGGACATAATAAAAGGCTGCTCAGAATTGCTGTTAGCCAAATGCAATATCTACGTGACAGACTGCGTTGTGGCGGAAATGGAAAAACTTGGCCAGAGATTTTCCCTGGCCCTAAAAATACTAAAGGATCCAAGATATATCAGACTGACCTGCACCCATAAAGGGACTTATGCAGATGACTGCATTGTCAACCGGGTCACTGAAAGCCGCTGCTATATCATTGCAACCAACGATAGAGATTTGAAAATCAGGTTAAGAAAAATTCCGGGCGTTCCCATTTTATATGCCAAAAATTTTAAGTACAGAATTGAGAGGCTTCCGGATAATATAATGATATGACGAGAGGCGCCCAAGATTCGGATTTGTTTCCCACTCCCAATTAGGAGGGAACGCCTCCCCCCTCTTCCCAAGTGCATATTAACGCTCTGCCTGGGCATGTCCCCAGGCAGTTCACACTGAGCTGTGTGTAACACGCATGTATGCATGGAACATTATGCGTACGTATAACTGTCCCACTTTTTTTCGTTCACATAAACAATTTTTAATATTCGTTTAATCTGTTGCATTCATCCCCCCTTTTTTTACGTAAACAATCCAATTTGCCTCATAAACAGTCAAACCGTTTGAAGTTACCATCTGTGCTTGATGTAACAACACTGCGACGCAGCCATTTTATGGAAAATGTATTGCGCAGTTTGGGAAACTCACACGTGCCAGGTTGGGGGAATTCCCCCGAGTTTTTTTTTTATTTTTTTTTTTGTCTACTTCGGCTTAGAGTATGTACTTTTTGGCAGGGAAGAAAAAACAGATAGACGCTCTTAAAGATGGAGGAACTCACAAATTAGCGTCATACAAAGTGGGGGCACATAGTACAATTCGTACAAGCGTCCCGCCCTGTGACTCGAACGAAATGAGCCGCGTTAAGCGGGCCGCGTCAAATGGGTCGCCTCAGATTGCCCATCACAGCTAGCTAAAAAAAAAATATGAACCTTCAGGCAAAAAAACTACCTCGCAAGGCCTTTGCAGGTGAAAAAAAAAAAAAAAAAAAAAATTCACTCATTGATTGATTTCTTGATTAATGGCTAGCTAACCAATTGGCAGAACTGCTCACACGGACTTACCACCCGCGCGAAAGGAAAAGAAGCCCCATCTGCAGTATGCGACTCGTTGGGGATAATCGCTCGTGTGTTAGGGGGTGAAGCTGAAAGGAGCAAACCACCTGTCGAACCCTTGCATCCTTCGCGTGAAAGGTGGATTCTAAGCCGGATTTTAAGGTGTATTTTAAACGGCGTCTGGAGAGCTTATGTCGAGCTACTCATGTGGTCATATCTGAGTTTTATTTCCTTCACGTTTTCCTGAGAAGAAAAAAATTCGTTTCTTTTTTGAAGTTACAAAAATTTGGCGTATATTTTTATCATTTCAGCTTTCTTGCATTCACTTAGCAAAGCTCTCCCTTACGTCGACGAATGGTGGGGACATATCCGTTACAGTGTTGCGATACCTTAAGGCGTGAAGGCTTCCATCCCTCTTTTTTTCCGCAAACAGGTTGGCTCGAATATATGAACGACACCCAATGCTGTCGTTGGATATGGAGCCTGCGGGGAGTGGAAAATGGCGTCCGTGTGGCGCCGTGCACGTACGTATAAAAAACCTGTTTCCCCATCTTAGCATATACATGTCTGTATGAAGTCACGTATAAACCACGATAAGTACTTCCCCCGCCGCCTCATACACACTCAAGGCCCACTTACACTTATAGTCAAAGTAATTATGATCCCCAATGGTGAGGACATTTGCTATGAATGTCCCGGATCGGAATATGTTATAATTGCCAATGTACATATGGGCATCTGCGCAATTGATAATGGTTATGTTGTCCTCAAATAAGTTGTTGTTGCCGATGTAGATGTTCCCCTTCTGTGAGCTGATGTAGCAACCTGGAAATAAAATGTTGCCACTGCCTAGAGTGACGTTACTGTCTGGGGTGGCGAAGAGGTAGGAAAGTTTTGTTACGGCTTGAAGTACTACCTCATTTTCTGCACGGTCTTTTTTCTCTCTCGTTTTTTTCGGTGCATCACTTTTGTGTGGACTTTTAAATGGGTGAAATGGCTCCCCGTTGGTAGGACCCCTGCTAAAGCCTCTGCTAACCCCCCTGTAAAAACCGCCCATTAGCGCAAGCTGACGAATGTGCGTCTCCACATGATGGTTGAAGGTCCCCCTTCTTGCTTCCACCTCCTTGGTGTTCCTCATAAAGTAAAAAGAAATGATACGGTCCAGGAAAAACTTAAAAAAGCATTTTCTGATTCTTTTATTATATATAGAATTTTGATTTTGTCGGAGATTTTTTATCAATGTTTTATTTTCACAATATGTTAACTCTGTCCATATTTTTTTATTTTTATGTTTACTCATTTGGATAGTTATACACATTTTCCTATTTTTGTAGAATATTTTTTTCACTTTTTTTCCTGTCTTCTCTTTATGTCTGCTTATGAGTCTGTTGTGCACAATGGCAATCTTGAAGAAGTTGTTTACTTCCTTTTCGTCCATTCGACATCCTGTCGGTAGCGATCCGCGGGCTGGTTCCCCCCCCTTAACGTCCTTCTCTGAGCAGTTCAGGGGTGAAAGGGGACTCTCAATAGGTAATTGTAAAATGAGGGTGTGAAACGGACGGGAAAGAAAAAAAAAAAAAAAAAAAGCGGAAAAAGGGGGAGATACACTTTTTGTGTCCCCCCGTTGTTTATCCGCTTCGAAGAGAAGCTACCACCAAATGGATCCCTGTATATGTTCACACATCTTTTCCTCGTGCGTCATATATGCGAATTGACATCTTTTGGAGTGCGTACAAGTGACGTTAGCAGGTGTGTTGATGCTCACGTGGTTTATGTTGATGATGATCTATGCTGAGGCGCCCAGAGGGATTGCCTCCCCTGGAGCGCGTCTTACACGCAATCACCTTTTGCGACATTTCACACACTTGGTTTGTTCATTTGCAGATTTGTTTTCTCAACTTACCCAGGTTGATCATCTGTTCAGCAGTTTCTCCTAAGGAGGGATCCCTGCTCTGCAATGTTCCTCCGACTCCACTCAGGATAGCTTTGCCCCCGTTTCGCCCTTCCCTTTCTAACCGACCAATGGTATTCAAATAAGAACACAGGGGGGACGAATCTATGCTCATATGCGATTTGAACGTCTCGTAATTGCGTAGAAGATGGGGACGAGAAGAAATGGCGATGTCTTCTGCATCGGCAGATGGAGAATCATTGTTCGGTGTTGAGTACTCCTCCGCTTGATGAGGCAAAATCTGTGTTTCCTTGTTGGCACTCGTTCCGCTTGGTATCGACTTGAACTCTAAATGGGAATTTGAGTCTTCGCGTGAAGTCTGCGAGGAGTTGCCAGGCGGTGTGGCGGTGATATGGCAGCGATGTATCGAGGGATGTGACCGACCATGTGATCCTCAATGTGATCGGTGACGTTACCTGCGATGTCATCTCCGACGTGGAGTGCTCCCGAGAATGGGCACTGGAACGGTCCCATAAATCCGAGGAGCTTGTTTTCCTCCGGTTCGTGTTAAACGTCGTAAATATGTTGCTACCCCCGCGTGCCGTCACCCCTTCAGGTGTCAGTTTTTTAAATTTGTACACATATTCATTTAGCGATTTTACTCGCTTATACGGATTTAGCTGCTCACTCTTTATGGAGGTACACGAATCGTTTGTGGACGTTTTGGCTGAACCGCAACTCAAGAAGCTGTTGGATTGCTTTCCTACGCCGCTGGACGGTGGGGACACATTAGAAGCGTGTGCTGATCCCCCCATGGGGGAAGGCCTCTCTTTTTTCCCCATCCCTCTGGTACCCAGGTTTTGGGAAAACAGCTTCACCAATTTGTCGTTGCTCATTGTGGGAAGGCGTAACGGAGGGGTAGTGGAAAAAAGGCAAACAGGTCTGAAGTGGGAAGCAGCTCCGGCGTGGTAGCAAAATGGCGGCGAATAACCTGATGAACGGACAGAATAGCGGTGAACAACCTGCTGATCTGTCAACCTGAAGAATTAGAAAGGAAAAACTCAGAAAACAAATCAAGGTGGATATTTTAATCTCATGAGATGATTCCCATTTGCGTGTCAAACTAAAGAGGTCCTTTCCAGGGAATGAACTTGTGTCACACTGAGCACGGCGGTAGAATGAAAAAAAAAAAAAAGAACAACTTGGGAGGCATGTCCCCCACACATCCACAAATTCAGAAGGGACAAATACCTTAAGCCGAAGGGAGGATTGAACACTTAGACACGGGGAAAGATTCCATTAGGACATTTTTTCCTGCCTCGTATATGTAGGAACAGTTTCATGATAGGTGCGACTTTTTTATTTGGTCTTTTTCCCTTCACAAGTATTCGACCCTTGGATTGATGAAAACGAAACAAACGCGCGTAGGGAAAATTGCCCTCGCCTAGCCACCAGTTTAAGATAGAACCCTGTTGATGTAGCATATAAAGTGCTAGAAATGTGGGTGGCAATTTAAGCAACCAGAGTTGAACACCTTTTGGCATGAATTGGCTGCATATTCTTTACGACATGTGCACAGTTAGGAAGTGAGCAGGCTCCGTTGCTCCCAATGAGCGGCTTTTATTCTTTTTTTTCTGTTTTGTTCAAATGAGTCGTGCCGCCATACTTTCACCTGAACGGGTTATACATTTTACACCTGTTTCTAAGCCGTCCTACACACACATTTGCCGCTGAAACTTCCGTCTTACGTTTTGCCTTTTTTTCCGATGGGTCTACTATACTGCCTTTTACTTATTATTCTTATTTTTTCCTAATTTTTCTTTTTAATTATTTATTCTTCCTGGTAAAGAAAATAAATTCTATATATTGGATGAAAAAAAAAAATTTAGAAAAACAGATCTTTCATTAAATGAATATGTTAAGTGCTTGGCATGTAATAAAAAGGGGGAAAATAAAAAGGGGAAAATAAAAGGGGGAAAATAAAAGGGGGAAAATAAAAGGGGGAAAATAAAAGGGGGAAAATAAAAGGGGGAAAATAAAAGGGGGAAATAAAACTGGAATAAATAAAATATAATGGGTAAAATGGGATATATAAAAATATACTGGATATAATGTGGTGAAAAAATGTGGGTGGGTAAAAATGGCATTATAATTGAAAGTTAAAAGGGGGAATGCGTGAAGGCGATGGAAATTTTTTGGGTTTAAGACGTCGCTTCTCATTACTTGGTTCGTTATCTCTGATATGTGTTGCACAAGGGTGTAGGGGTACACACCTATGTGCGCGTGTTCGTGCATAAATATACATACGACTGGACACGTGCGATGGCATGTGTGGTCACATGTATGCACACGTTGCGTACGCGGCAGGCAGGCGTCGGCCTGCACATACGTGTGCATATGAACCGCATATGAGCTGCATATACACACGAATGGGCGCCACGTTCCGCCGCCGCCGCGCGCTCTCTCACACACACATGCACGTACACTTAAACATACACTTAAACATAAACATAAGCATAAGCATGAACACACGCACAGGGCACAGGCATCAGGGCACGAGGCGAAAACATATAGATAAGAAGGCACAAGCACATTCGCACGTGTATGTACACGTGGAGATGCACAGGCGTGCTCACTTATCCATACGCATACGCACGTGCGCTGACGTTATACGTTAACATCATCTTGCCACGCAGATTTACGTCCTTAAAATGAGTGCTTCGTCACGCGGATGATGAGAAAATATATGCACGTGCGTGTGAACACGGACGTGTACGCTAGCGCATGTACGTGTGTGGGTGTGTGTTCATATGTACAGGTGCATACATCGCGCTTTCACATTTGCATTCGCTTCTGCATTCATTTTTCATTCACTTTTGCAGTCATTTCGCTGGTGCAATTCCATGCGCATTTCTGGACTTCTGCTTCCTATCCATGACGCACTTCCTACGCGTACACACAGACACAAACACAAGCACAAAAACACACACACACGCACTCCTCAAACAGGGATGGTTCGCCATTTACTCGAGGCCTTCATCCTTCGATTTTTCTGCGGAAAAACAAAAAAAAAAAGTAGAAATTTTGGAAAAATCGAAAAATTAGCGAAATGGAAAAATTAACCCAATTAGCTAAAATGAACTAAACAGGTCAAACTGGCCAAACGGCCCAACTGACAACCGTCCCTTCCGTACCTTCTGTCTGGTCTCCCTGCAAGTCCGACGTCCATAAGGTTAAGTTGTCCCGCAGCAGCTGCATAATCAGCGTGGAATCCTTGTACGAGTCCTCGCTTACGTTGTCGAATTCGGTGATAGCATCGTCAAAGGCACGCTTGGCCATTTCACATGCCTGATGAGGCTGGTTTAAAATCTCATAAAAGAAAACTGAGTAATTCAATGCAAGGCCTAAACGTATGGGGTGCGTCGATGGAAGCTCATTCTCTGCAATGTCCGTTGCCTTCTGATAAGCTTCCTGAGCAAAGTTGGATGCTTCCTTTTTTCCTTCATCGCAGGAAAACTCGCTAATGTATCTGTAATAATCTCCCTTCATTTTGTAGTAAAACACCTTGCTTTCACTTTCGGACGTGTTTGGTATTAGCTTCTTAGTAAGCAAATTTAGGATGTCCTGGCATATGTTATTTAGCTCCTCTTCCACTTTCTTCCTGTACGTGGCCGCGATGTTCTTGTTGTGCACGTTTGCCTTGCTCATTTCTTTTTGCTCAACGCTTGAAATTATTCTCCATGAGGCTCTCCTCGCACCGACGGCATTTTTGTACGCAACGGACTGTAGGGGGGGCGAGGAGCATCCCGCATGATCGTTTCGGTTAGAAGGGGCACACTAGGGGGGATAGATACTAAGTGTCATGCACACTAGGTGTGATACACACTAAGCGAGGTGCGCATTAGACGGGGCACCACGCCTGCCCATGTTGGTGGCATCACCGCGCACACACGCAGAAGCCTTAGGGAATAAGAGGTGACAAGAGCCCCAGCGTAATGCCTCCCTTCTGACATACCAGCAGGTTCCTCTCTTCGACGGTCAACTCGTCCTTGTCGTTGTTCACGCACTGCTCAACTAGGGTTCTCATGGCATCGGCCATTTCTGCGGGGGGAAGGTGGAGGAATGGATGGACGAATGGCCGAATGGAGGAACGAAATCAATTCTGCACCGGACACACTACTCTTCCGTGCCCCACCCCCGCGAGTACACGCGGACCACTTCCACCCTTTGTGCCTTCGCTCAATCCACACATGCTTCGCACAATTGTCGTTACACATGGGGAGGTGATGAGGCAACTCACGGCGTAGTTACACAATTGGGGGCGGGGAATAGTGGCACGAATGCAGTCGCGCCCTTTAGACTACACGCCTTCGTGAGGCAGCACGTGCAGGAAAGGACTTTCCTCTATCACCTTGGCCGCCACACGCGCCAATACCTCTGCGCACTCACCGTCATATCTCTCCGCCTGCTCGGCCAACTTGGATCGGTAGGTACAGTCCGACCTAAGCTGCTTTAAATCTTCGGATGCTGCCATGGTTTTCTGAAAGTGGAGTTACGCGAAGGTTTGTTCGTCGGGGATAAGGCTTACGTCGGCTTGGGTGAAATATATGCACACGTGTTCGTGTTGACTTATTATGCAAGTTGACCAAGTGTGGAAAAACGAGGCAGAGCGAGCGGATGGGAAAAGAGCGGTGAAAAGGGCGTCAACGAAGGTGCCACGTCGATGTATGTGTGAAAAGGGGCATGTACATATATATAGCAGCGAGCGTTTGCTTGCGTTTTGTATTTTTATGCCTTCTCTTAGGAGCTTCCCTCTTTGTACATGAGATGTTTCTTTGTTTATTTTTTTGTTTTTTTTTTTTTTTTAAGTCCCTTCGCAAGCGTGAAAAATTGCAGATAAAAACAGAGAATGTACTTTTTTCCGTTTTTAATTTTATTTCTCAATCAAGTCTGCATGAAAAAAAAAAAACAAAAAAACATATCACAGAAAATGGGCGTAAAGTGAATTTATTACAAAAGGGTAAAAGGAATTAAAAAAAAAAAAAATTGTGAGCGATGAGATATATAATATTTATGATGATATATAATACATGTATACATTGTTGAAAAAAGGAAAGAGGGGGAAAAAAAAAAAAAAAATTAAATCACGAGAGGGGGCTTAACGAAATAAAAAAGTGAGCGTAATGGTACGCGGATGTCCGTGGGCTGGCAGTATGCGTGTACGGACGATGGGTGGAAGGGTGGAATGGTGGAAGTACGGAAGGATTGGAAATATGGATGAAAGGAATGATGCTTGATTGACGGAAATATAGATTGAAGGAAGGATGGAAGTATTGATGGAAGTACTGATGGAAAGACGTATGGGATGGAAGATTGAATGGATGGCATGTACCATAGGGATGCTGCACAGAGAAGTACCAATACGCATAATGTCATATGTATTTTTTCATATGCCCGCGACGCATATATATAATATTATGTATTTGCACATACGTACATATTTATGTGCACGTGACCTTGCTGCGCGACCTGTGGGACAAAAGGGTGAACGGTGATAATGATAATGAGATGCTTCGGGAGATGAGGTATTGCGAAATGGCGCGAGAGGGAGGAGCATGATGATATGTACGCCTAAGGGTGAGGACAAGAACGTGTACGCTTCCGTGTACGCAAAAGGGAGTCGAGCATGTGAATATTATATAAATGTGATCGAGCACGGGTAGGCGCAAAAATATACTCGAAAAAGTACCAAAAAGGGGGCCCCCCAATAGGCGCTAGGGTACCCCAAAATGGGCCTAAAGTGTACCCCAAAATGGGCATAAAGTGTACCCCCAAAATGGGCATAAAGTGTACCCCCCAAATGGGCATAGTGTACCCCAAAATGGGCGTAAAATGCACCCCAAAATTGGGCGTAAAATGTACTCCAAAATAAGCGCAAGGTGTACCGAAAAATATGCTCACAAACGCACGAGTACATATGCGCATACGCGGAACGGCGGGACTTACTAACTCCAAGCCATGCGGAATGAAAAATCTTTACATTGGCACTGCAGCGCAAGCGCCTTTTTTTTTTTTTTTCCTTACTATGCCGCCGTATCGCTGTGCCTTTTCACAGCTTTACTGCCTCCCGTTTGTACACCGTTTCAACGTTGAAACACTCATCACGTTGAAACACGCATCACGCTTTTTTTAAAAAGTTCGCAAATGTGCTACTTTCCCAATCTGCTCATTAAGGCAGCGTTCGTGGCTCCCTCCAACTTTCCTGTTCGACCCTTCACGGGCGATGTGCTGAGAGGCCGCGTAAAAAAAAAGAAGGGGGTACACCAGTTTGCTCACCTAAGGCCGTATTTACCAGCGCAATCATACGTGTACGCCTCATTGCGCTGCGGCACTGCTTATGTACGCGTATGCTATCCGACGTAGTCCCCCAGGGGGAATTTACAAAGCAGCGCAGGGTAAGACGCACACGTGTATCAAGGTTGCCTCTACATTGCAGTATTGCTTCGTCCTCTCTTTCACTTTCCCATTCAGCCGTAAAAAGGAAACTCCTTCCTATTTCACCGCCTCTTTCCATTTGTATTATTTTTTGGGGGGTTCGCTGGATGGCCGCCTATGTACCGGTATGCACAGACACACGCGTCTGCGCTGGGGGGTGACCTCCATTTGCTTCCATTTGCTCGCCTTTCTCCAAACCGTATATACATGTTCGTCCTCCCATCCCTGGGCGTAAACTTCTCACCCCCAACGGGTGAAGCATAGAAGCCGGTTGCCCATCGTGGTATGTCCTCTACACTGTTTAGCTAACTAGCCACAGTGAAAGAAGGCGCTTCGAGGACCGTACATTTATGCACAACTGTAAGGATACTCAGTCGGTACGCTCCCTTTGTGATATCCGTTACTGATGTCCTATTTGCAGAAGAGAAACATCTCCAGGGGGGTGCCACTGCGGGGGCAGTTTTTTTTTCTTTTTTCTTCCCCAATCAGGGTGTCCACTTTTTCTTTTTTTTTTTTTTTTGCTTGTTCATACGAAAAGTCATTTTAGCTGTAAATATTGCCGTTCACGTGAAAATGGTTGATAATGTTTTCCTCTCAAAAGCGGTGGGCAAAATAAATTAACATAAAGTGCTGCACACCGCTGCTTCCTTCGGTTACGCAGGTGTGTACGGTACTGAACCATGTGCGAAGCAGCGCGTGAGTCTACGCAAAGGGCATAACATTTGTAAACAAATCGAAAAGGAGAATTGTAACTATGTGGACGATCTGTTCACAGGAAGGGAAATTGCCTCAGCGGAGAAGTTGCCTGTTTCGTTTTACCGTAGATCACCTGTAGGGGATTTGCCCCCCACACATACAACCGTGTGCTTCTTCACAAAAATGAAAAATTAGCAGTTTTTCCAAAGGAGTAACAGAGAGCCCGATTTCTGGTCATACCAGCTTGGCATTACATTTCTGCGGAAGGCAATTTTGCCTTTCACCGTCGAAGGAGTGGCCTCTCCACGTGGCGCAGTTGTGCACTCCGCCTTGGGTACGTAAACATGGGCAAGCTTACATATACGCAAAGGTATACGAAAATATATAAGCAGAAGCAAACATGTTTTTTTACATGTGGCAGTTTTTTTTTTTTTTTTTTCCTTCCTCCTCCCTTATGTGAGGATCCCCACCCAAGTTGTAGTCACCATTATTTGTGCACCGAAGAATATGCCATTCTGTCGTCCCCCAAAGGGGTTCCTCCTTAAACGTATGAATTGGCATCACCAGAGATCAGCGCGAAAAGTACGCGATTCTACCTCTCGTGCGCAATGCGTCACTAGCGTTTCTTTCCCATGGGTAATGGCATACCTACTGTGGATACAACTGGCCGGTGCAGCTTGCCAGCGTTGCGGCCCACCCGTTCCACCGGAAGGCACGAATCCACCCACATCAGAAGAGGCATTTGCGGCTAACACAATTGTGATCGAATGATCAAATGGATTCGTGTCTCTCCGAGGTGTTATCCGTAGAGTCGTCTTGTGGCCCGACACAGAGGGATTCTCCTCCTTCCACCCGAAAAAAAAGAAAAGGAAGGCAAAAGAATGTAAAAGCATAGAGGCAGTATTTCCAGCTAATCACATTTCTAAAAAATTGCAAAGTGTTAAGTTGGTTACTAATGCATTCGGACAAAAAAAAAAAGAAAAAAAAAAAAAGGAAAAACAAAAGAAGACAAAATTAGCATGCATGGATTAAAAAATTCTGCGCACATTTAGCACCGAGTGAGAGGTGCAGCTCGATTGGGTCTACAAAAAGAATTGCGCAATCGGAGAAGATACACACACAGCGAGAACGGGGGGGAAAAGGTTACCAACAGGGGAAAATACGATCATTTGGTCACCTCCACCTACAGGCATATATTTATCGCCTAGTTGTGTGTCCCATTCAGCTGATCCTTCCACTGATCACCACACCCTGGTGCGCTAAATGAGCTCCTTGACGCCACTGGCGATGTACTTCTCCACGCTGATGTCCCTCATTTTTTTACTCTCACAGTGAAGCTACAAAGGGAGGGGAAATTGACAGGGAAGGAAAGCACAGAGTGGAGGTAAAGCTACGCAGACGTGAGACAAAGCTGCGTATACGTAGTGCATCTTGCAGCGGACGCGCGCGCCCTGGTTACCCGCTTGGCCAGGTCGTGCGTGTAAAGATCGAAGGATGAGTGCGCCCTGGAGTCGGTGGTGAAATAAAGCAAACACAGTACATGGATGAGTAAATTTAGAAAGCTTTCGTAGGTTTCGTTGTCGCCCTCCTCGGGGGCCATGATCTGGCTTCCCCAATCTTGAGTAAACGACGCGCGGACATTGTTGCTATCGTTGGAGGTGGTCTTGTGCAGGTTCTCCATATCGGTGTAGCTACTCTTAGCCGAGTGGTTCTTCTCTCTGATTTTATTTTTCGTAAGTTCTAGGTTTCTGTTAAGTATATGATTCAGAATGTGACAATATTTTTTGTTCAGGAAGATGTTGTCCGTGGTTTGTTGCAGCGAGTTGTAGTCGTTGTGGGTTGGGAAGTGCAGCTGGATGTCCTCTTTGGGAGGGCTCCCTAGGTTGCTGCTCCAAATGGGGGTAGCATCATGATCGGAGAGGGTCACATTGGAGGGGTTCTTTCCAGGGTCGCTCCGGAAGAAGTGGCTGTCGAAGGGGCCCCCCAAGTGGTTGGTGACGTGGCTGCTAACGCGGCTTGCCGACTGGCCCGGCAGGTGCACCCCCGTGTCCATGTCCGAAATGTCCAAATCGAAGAGGTGCACAAACTTTTTCAAAATGTGCAAATATAAGGTGTACTTATAGTCATAATTATTGAGGTAGGAGAAAATGGAATTTTTTTTTTTCTCTCCTGTTAAGTTCTTCTCGCAGGTAGCAAAGTGGTGATCATAGCAGTATGTGCTACGTCTTTTGGCATGGCTAGGCGAGTCGTGAAAGGAGAGTTCCGTCTCATAGTAGGGGTTTCTAATCGAGTCATACTTAACGTCGACACTTCTGTTCCCGTTGGAAGTTGTCATTCTGTTTCCACCCCTATGAGAATGATTATTTTTCTCATGTGAGTAGCTAAAGTACAGCGAAGAGGAGTTACCCTCTTGCTGTGCTGAGGTAGTCTTCCTCGCAGTTGTCCTCCCCTGATTCTGACCCTTAAACGAACCATATTGAATTTTACTCACTACGGTAACGTTAGGGTATGGGGGGATGTCTATCTTGCTGCAGAAGGCGATAAAATACTCCTTCACTTTTCTCTGTTCCGCTAGGCCATGTAAATTAGGGCAATAGTACCTATTACATTTGGCTTGCATATAATCTTCACATCTCTTCGTTTTATACAGCAGAGGGTGGTAATCGATTTCTTCTGTGCTGTGAGCCAGTGGACATTCAACACCTAAGGGACACTTGCTCTGATTTTTCTCCTCAATATATTTGTAAAAGTTATTGTTCACACTTCCATCGTTGTTTGTGAGGAATAGGGAGTTTCTGAAAATGATGTTTCGGTGTTCTTCATCCTGGTCAGTCTGTTTTCCCTTTTTCACAAAAAAGGGGCATGGCACAGGGATGTACCTCAGGTAAGACGGCAGGGAGATGTAGTACGGGCACCTCCTGATCCACTCTGCGCTATGACTGTACTGACATCGATCCAGGCCGAATTCGCACCCCCCCTTGGCCAGCCGCAGGCACTGCTTTGTGCGGAACCGGTAAAGGTCCTCTTCGCTAAGCAGGGGGGTGCACGCCATCAGGGGGGTAGTGGCGCTAGAGGTGCAAGAAGCGGCAGAGGTGGAAGAAGTAGTAGAAGTCGCAGAAGTGGAAGAAGTGGTGGATGTAGCAGAGGCGCTGGACGTGGTGGAACCCGTGGTAGGGAAAACGCACGCGTGCACTTCCCAATGGCGGGAACCAACGTAAGAGGCGGGGAAAACAAAAAAACGACTCACTAAGATGATGGAAAAAAAAATTATGCCACAATGTGGAAGACCGGTGGGGAGGGGGTGTAAAAAAAAAAAAAAAAATTAAGGGAGAGTCACTTGTAGGCCATCAAACCTTTTAAGCTTCACTCGTATGCAACAAGAAATGAAAAAAAAAATTGCCGCAAAATGAAGCACAGCTAAATGGGGAGCAAAATTGCCGCTATGCCACTATTCCTCTTATGGTGTGTACGAGTAAAATACATATGGTGAGGAAAACGAAAAAACAATTTTAAAAAAATCGAGCAACGGATAAATTGGTAATCCCACCCTTTTATGAATGTCAGATAGGGGGGTTCACCTCGAGGCTGCCATGCGCCATGCCTTGGTATTTTTACACCACTCAAGGTGTGCAACAAGGTGAGAGATTCGATTTTGCATGGTGAGTGGCTCTTTGGTTAATTTCCGCGATGAATATTTTCCTCTTGTTCGTTAATTTGGCGTGATTCACACTTGTTTTTTTTTTCTTTTTTGTTTTTGTTTTTTTCTTAATTGTAATTCGCTCTGGTTCGTGCTTTTAGGGGTTGTAAAAAAATTGCTTGCGTGACCCTTTGCTTGTTTTGCTCAACTTGGGGATTTTTTTTTTCTTTTAGGCCCCTCGTAAATTAAGGCCCATATGGGGGCAAGTAAAGAAGGAACAAAAAAAAAAAAAAAAAAAAAACGCTGCCCTATATACACCCGCGTGATCGGGCACAAATGTTGTAAGAACGGAACAGAAACTACAACATAAAAAAAAGTAGAAAAGTTCGTGCCTTTTGGTAAAAGAAAGAAAGAAAAAAAAAACATCCTAAACTTTTTTTTCTTTACTATTTACACGTTTGTTAAAATGCGAAAGAAGAAAAGAATTTCCGTTTGTGTGACCATTTTGCGAAACCATTAGCCCCTCCAGCATCACCACGAATGGGAGTTAATTTTTCACCTCCCTTTTCTGCCCATGCATGCCAGCTCCGTACGTAAAAATAAAAAAGAGCAAATTCAATTTTCCCGTTAGCCAAATGAAACGATGTTAAAAGGGGAGGAAGTGTAAACATAAGGTGGGGGTGAGACTCTTCCCGCTTGGGACATTCTCCTCCGTGTGCTCTCATAACTTCGCTGAACGGACGTACATCTTTGAAGCACTAAAGTTTCAGCCAATCTAACACTTGTGTCAAAAAACGGGAAGGGCGCAAAAAGGAAAATTCGCTTTTCCACATAATTGACATTTTTGCGAATGGGGAAATTATGCACGGGAAATAAACGTCGCATTTCCTGTTTGCAACGGAATTTTCCTCAGCTAGCTAATTTAAAAAAAAAAAAAAAAAAAAAACCTGACTTGTTCATAAGAAAATGCAACACCTGATTGCTCATTCCCCAATTGGAGCAGTAACGTTCCCACGCAGAATGGAAGAGCTGATGTAGGGTGACCAGTAAAGCAGCCCACCTTTGTCTCATCGACAATAGCATTTTTGACTTGTTCACGTTTGCTTTCGTGGGGTTGTACAGAAATGGGCCATAAAGCTGCCGTAATGAAGCGGCATTTTATTTATTATTTTTTTTCTCCACTGTGACGGAAAAGATCACGAACCCTGGAGCTTCCATCTTCCGCCGTTTCAGCTCTCACGAGACAACGATCCAATTTTGTGCACCTCCCCCCGCGTGCCCGCTTTGTTTTGTTACCCTTCCATGGCATCTACATTTAGGGATGCTCTTTTGAAGGAACTGCTGCGTCTTTTTCCTTTGCTCGGAATTCGAATGTGAATCGCGGGAGGTACAAAAGAATTGGTGCACTCGAGGACGGCTATATACAATAAGGATGTTACAAACATGGAGGTGTTACTCAAATGGCTAGGCGGCAAAGTAGCTAAGCGGGCAAGTGCTTAAGTGGCCAGATGGCTGATCGGCCAAATGGCAAATTGACAAATCATCGCGGAAACAAATCGCTACACGTGCGTAAACGAACACATAAAAAAAGAAGGAAGCATATAAGATAAACGTTGGAGTGTCTCGGGGAGCGCAAGGAGTCCCCTTCGGCTCTGCCAAATAGGCCCAATTGGCGTGATCGGAAGTGAGCTAACGGACGGGTAAAGGTATGACAATGTACAAGCGTGCAAATGGCGGAGGCCCACTAAAAGGCGGGGGACAGTGGTCTGTTAAAGCCACCCCGTCTGTTCATATATTGGCGATACTTCCTTTTCGTCCTTCGATTAATGCCAGACAAGTCGGTCTCATTATGACATTTGTTATCTGTCGTGCTGAATTCACTTATTCCCATAACTTTTTTTAACATTTCCCCTTCAGACAAATCTTCTTCATTATCCCCATCAGAGCAGTCACTATATTTTCTATTCTCATTTAATTGTTGCTGTACTCCAGCAAATTTATCGTTTGCGTTTCCATGATGGCTAGCTCTGTGCTCTAAGTTGTACTCCCCAGAAGGGTACGCATTATCATTATGTGTGTATCTGCCACTCCGTTTTGTTACATCATTGTATCTGGCATCGATGCTGTCGCTTCCGGGGGAGCTGTTCCTCCTGGCAGGCCTGTCCTGATTTTGAGAGTTTGGCGCACTGCATATGCTGCTTCTGTCGTGCCTGCCGATGGAGAGCCTCTTCGCACTGCCGTCCCTATCCCTGCGCCTGTGCCTACTGCGACTTCGGCTCCAGTGCCTGTGTCTGTGCCTGTCGAGATTGCGATCCCGGTGTCGCTCTCGATCGCGATCTCTGTCTCGATCTCTGTCTCGATCTCTGTGTCGGTCCCTATGTCTGTGCTTGTGTCTATGCCTATGTCTACCGCTATCTCGATCTTTCTCCCTGTCCTCGTCGCTGCTTCGGTCGCTGCCCTTGCCCCCGCTCCTGTGCCGATGTCTGTGCCGATGCCTGTGTCTGTCTCGGCTTCTGCGCCTCCTCCTGTGTCGACTCCTGCTTCGGCTTCGATTTCGGCTTCGATTTCGGCTTCTCCCGCTGCTGTTGCTTCTGCTCCTGCTTTTTCCCCCGCTTCTGCCTCTCCTCCTGCGCTTTCGGCTGTGCCCGTCTCGGCTCCTTTCCGACTTGGCGCACGAGCTGGAGCTCCCCTCTGCACTCATAATATCGCTGATACTGCCAACGAGGGCATTAGGCTGGTCGTCGTTCACTTTCTCCATGTTCGCGCCGCGTGGGTCAGGAGAGTTAGCGTCACTACTGCGATGTGCATAACTGGATTGTAGGTCCATTTTTCCATCCTGCCTCTTCTTAGGAGAAACATCATTTGGTTCCTCGCGGATGCATTCCCCCTCGTCGTTATGTTCTCTTCTATCTTGTTGTTTTCTTTCCCTATCGCCATCAGAGGGTCCATCATCCTTCCTCGCATAACCCTCTTTGCCATCACCATGGTGATTTATTCCCTTCGGATTTTCTCCCTCTGTGTTTTCATTTCCCCCATTTGGCGCTTCCAGTTCAGTCGCTTTCCTCTTAAAAAAGGAATTAAACATGGTTGGCGCGGGGCACAAGGATGGAGAAAAAAAAAAAAAAGAAAAAAAAAGCAAAGCAAAATAAAAGGGGAAATAAAAACGGCAGCAGAAATGGAAAAAAAAACAGAGACGCAGTTATTTTTTTCCCCTCTCTCTGTTGCTACGATAATATTACAAACAGATGTTTTTTTTTTTCATTTTTTTTTTTTTTGGGTTCTCCAAAACCAGAGATTTGGTGTCACTCCCGCTCGTCCATCTTCCCCAACGAAAGTAGAACCTCCCTTATGTGCAGAGAAAAAAAACAGGTGTCATTTTGCATCATCCAGCGAGGCAGAGTCAGAATATTCAGGGGTTTCGCTTCCTCCTTCCCGCCCCGTGAAGGTGGAACGGACGAATAAGCGCACTTGTGCGATACAAGTACATCCGCGCGTGAATCTCACCGGCGCGGCTTTCGCATGTTTCGAAGCTTTCGCCCTTTTCGCAATTTCAGCACTTTTCCCAGTTTTACTGTTTCTCCAACTTGGCTTCCACCCAACGGAAAAGGAACAACTTCCCCCCTGGCAGCCAAAATGGGAAAGAAATTATATTCCATCCCGGGAAGTTAAACACTCCCATGAGGCTTGTTCACCATGGAGGGGAAGAATATAATATATCTATTCTTTTTTTATACCAAGATGGATGATGCCCCCTTTTTTTTTTCCTTTTTTTGTGCCTCTCTAGTGGACGGAGTTGTCCCCACGTGATGGTAAAAAAATTAAAATGGCTCCCTACATGGAAGAGCATGTCAGTAATGCCAACAGGTTTTCTTTGAGGTAATTTTTTTTTTCTTTTTCTTTTAACTCTCATTTGTGGGTACTCTGTTGAGTTACCCATTTGTGTGCCTCGTTAATCCAATTGGTTGCAGCACGTCCGTCCGGGGGACGTATGTTGACAAAAATGCATACGTCTGAGGAAGAATAGGTGGAAGTAAGATTGGGAAATCATCCGAGGTGCATACCGTCCGTTAATCACATGGGGGCGTCGGCGGATAAAATCACCCTTTAGCGTTACATAATGGGAATATACATATATATTTTATATATATATATGTTCCTATTTATATGATACCTCTGTTGGGATCCCCCCCCGCTGCAGTGACCACGCAGGGGGGATGGTTGTTACTCTTCGCTGCATGTACGCACTTGTACATTTGTACCTTCTGATGTCTCCAATCATTTTCCAGCTTCATTTCCCATGAGTAGGAGTTAGCGTAATTGCTTTTCTCTATCCGTTAGTGCAGCACCAAAAGTGAGCTACCTACCTACCGAACGGGAGGACTGGCCAGCGGTGTTTTTAAAAAAAAAAAATGGGAACAAAAATGAACAACTGGAGAAGTGTGACAAATGGTTGCTAACTGCACAAGCGTTTGGCACACCGTCGGTCCAGAAGGCGAAAAAGAATAAATGGCATAATTTAGGAAGAGCCAAAAGTTTTGGTTACGTACGTACTTTATGCAAACCGAAGGGGCATACAATAAATACCTGTGCGTCGGGGCACCCCTGTAGATGGCATCAGTCATGTACTTACGCGAGGCGCTTGGGAAAATTTGCTTGCACACAAAAGGGGAAAAAAGCGCAACCTTGGTAGGTACATCTGCAGGTATAAACAGGCACATGTAGGCATAAATACGCACTTGTAGGGATAAATACGTACATGACGGCAGAAATACGCACTTGTAGGCAGGCGCCCACGACCCTTTCGACGCGTGGCTTCAACCAGCACACGGTCACGGCAAAGCGGGATGGCCCCAAACAGCGGGCGCATATCTGCCGCGTCTGTGCATGTCAGCCGTCCTCACGAAGCTGCCCCCGTTGAATTTCTTCCTCCCGTCGTTAAAATCAGTTCCAACTGGGTTGCGTTGCAGTTGAAGCGGGTTGGAGTTAAAGCTAAAGTTAAAGTTAAAGCTTAATTGGCCTGCCTCACCTCCCCTGGGTGTTTTTTTTTTTTTCCCAATCCGTACAGATATATATGGTCATATACTTGTACATGCATACACTTCTTCCCGCCTCGATCATTTCGAACTTTTTTAAAAATTAAATTACATACTACAGTTAAATGACCCCTCGTGTGAATATTAAAAGGAAATTTTCTTTGCCATCCCTGTCATTTTGTTCCCCCTTTTTTTTCTCCCTTATTTTCCCCTCTTTATTTTCCCTTTTTTCCCCCCTCTTTTTCCCTTTTTTTATTCCACCTTTTTTTTCCATTTTCCATACAACATCCACATTTTTAATCTTCACTTGGGACTTCCAAACGGGAAAAAAACAAACGCAGGAATAAGGAACTGTAACGAAGAAGAAGATGGTAAAAGAACGACAAAAGAACGACATGCCTGTATGTGAGTCACTTCGCTAACGTTACGCACTTTCATTTATGCTTCCCTCATGCTTTCCCAAATATGCCAGCCTCCTTCCTACATAACCTCTGTTCATTCTTTCCATACGAAAAAAGTCGCCCAGCTGCTCCGTCGCCTACTTCATGGGCGTCACCTATATACGTAGCCCTAGCTGCTTATGCGTAAAGAGTACCCTCCACACCCCTTCCATCCTGATATGCCTCCTCTTCGTTGTCACCCATATGTGGACAATTATTGTGTACATATGAATTCCCCATCTAAATACGCCTGTCCCCTTTCCTTTCATCTCGCGTTTTCCATTTAGCACTGCCCTCAGCCAAACCGTGTTCTTTTTTTTTTCCCGTGTTCTTTTCTTGCGTTCGTTCGAGGGACACCCTGCTGCGTTGCATTTGCCTGCCACATGGATATGTCTTCCTGCCATTCTTACTCCTCCCCGTGTGTACGAGTTAACACCCGCAACGGAACACGCAGCATTATGTAGACACGTGTAACCGTTGCCTCCACCTGGTTTGTCGAAATGGCCACCTCATGATGATATTGCTTCATTTTTACGACCAAGCCGCAGTTGCTCTGAAAAATGCCCCCTCGTTTGCGCCACGTTATGTTAGCATTTTTGTCCCACTATTATGTTGTTACGGTGTTACGTGGCTTCTCCTTCTTCTTTTTTTTTCTCACCTTGCCGTTCCTACGTTTCAGCTAGCCGTTGTCTACGCCAGTGAGCGTTGCACTGGGCTGGGGGACAAAGAAACATTTTCCCACACACACAGACACAAACACAATAATCCTGATCGTTTTTTTGTTTTTCTTTTCCGCTTCACACTGTGTCTCCTTTACGAAGCATAACTGACGCGTCTGTTTTTTCACACTTCACTCTACTTCCCACCCGTTGCAACTTCTTTCACTTCATCGTATAGCGTAATGTGCTAGCTGCTGTGTCTGTTTATTGCCCTCCTTTTTTTTTACCTGCACTTTCAGGCAAAAGTGACCAAATATTTTTTCTCACGGTTGTTTTTTTTTTTTTTTGCTTCTTCCTTTTCTTATGGCATCTGTTCATCTGGTGCTCCTCTTTTGTTCCCCCCAACGCAGAGTAACAAAATGGCAGCCAAATCACCAAAGAAAGTTTTAAAAAAGCAGAACAGACGAAAGAAGAAGGACCCCTTAGCTCCAAAGAGAGCCCTGTCAGCATACATGTTCTATGTCAAGGACAAGCGACTCGAATTAATCAAAGAGAGACCAGAGCTCGCCAAAGATGTTGCGCAAGTCGGCAAGTTGGTTGGAGAGGCCTGGGGGAAGTTAAGCGCGGCGCAGAAGACTCCGTACGAAAAGAAGGCTCAGCTGGACAAAGTCAGGTACTCCAAGGAGATAGAGGAATACAGGAAGACAAAAAAGGAGTAAAAGCCACCTGCCGGGGCTGCGGCGCGTAATCATACACACGAAAACTCATCCACACATGTACCCACTCACACGCATATGCACCTGTTTTTACCCCGACGCATACGTATGCAAAAGGCGTACGCATGCCCCAGCACGAGGGGGAATTCTTTTTGCAGCCAGCGTGTGCATGCGAAGGGACAACTCTTTTTTATCACTACTGCTATGTTGCAAGACGGCAGCGTTGCAGTGTACTTTTCGCGTGTGCCTCTATGTGCATATGTACAGGCATATGTATTATATATCTGCGCGCATGTAGCAGCTCCCCTGCGAACAGCTCACGGGCTGGTATGTTTGTAACCCCCGCACAAGGTAACGTACGTGTGGGGGCCTCACTGCATATGTTCACGTTAGTACGCCACGTATGTGTACATATATATGCATGACCATACTATATATGTCGACTACTGCGTTTAGCAATTTTTTTTTTTTCATAACTCACTATTGTAGAAATATTCGCGACTCTTTTTTTTTTTTTTTCTCTCTTACGAATAATGAAAAAAAAAAAGATAAAGCCTAACTCACAGGGGAGAGAGGCCACAGGAAAGGTTGGGCATGAAGGGTTGCTCACTAAAAAACTCCACACACAAGAAAAAATTCTTAAAAAGGCTCCATTATCGTGCATCCAACATAAACATATTCGAAATTATTTCCTTAAATTGCTCGATTTGCTTCCTTCACAATGGCTCATGGGTCAGTTGATCCACTTCGCCATAACACGCGGGCCGAAGGGGGAGTAGTGGGCACCATGAGCGTATTCCCACGTCGCCCAACATCATGCATATAACGTTGGATGCTGTGCCGATCTTGGCGCCCCCTAGGGCCACGGCGAGGCAAGGAAAAAGAGTAAAGAAGGAACACGTAGAGAACTGATACACAAAAACCAAATTGAAAGAAAAAATTAGCACAAAATCGCCTCAACAGGAGAGGTGATAGTGGGCCATTTATCGAGCCAACAAGCTTTTTCTAAGAAATAAAATATGAAGGAGTCATATTTTTTATTTTTTTTTTCACAAGAGGGTTAATAAAATGGCACTGACAATTTCGGCGATCCTCCAAAAAAATAGAAAAAAAAAACAAAAAGGAACTGTGCATCTTTTTACAGCACTCGCAGAAGGCATACCATGTGAATTAACGTGTGACGTCGGCCCATCTGAGTCATACGGGTGCTCATAACGGATTAGTAAGCATATATATTGTTTACGTTGGTACCCGAGTTATTTTCGCCCCCCCAATGTGAAACCTTATACAACGTTGCGAAGGAGAAAAAGGAAAAAAAGGGGAACCACCGGAAGCGGTTTTCGGTCAAAAGAGTTCATAGCGCGCTCCTATCTGCGAAGTGGGTATGCACGTATAAATGACAAAAAAGGGGGAGACATCAAGGGGGAAAACATCCACGAGGAAAGTCTCCATTAGGAAAGCATCCATGAAGGAGGCACCCATGCGATAATTTTTCCAAAGTGGAAACGGGCAGGAGTGTGTGCATCCCCCGCCACGAAATTGTGACCTCACTCCGTTCACTAAACTGAGCAAATACGATGGGTATTTTACACTGGGTGGGACAACAGAAGGGGGATTCCTATCACACCCTAATAGGAATATTAATTTTTACTTTTTCTTTTTTTTTTCTTTTTAATTTTCCTCTCCACGTGGGTCATTATGAACAACCTGTTTGTTTGGAAGCAGTGCATAGTGGTCTTTACACGAATGTGGGGGAGACCATTCCCCTGTGCATTTAAAAATAACATAATTCGTTGCCTCGCTAACTAAATTTTCCTCAGCATGGCTCATCCCTACTCGCACAAGTTACAGTGGAGTTGTACGTGCACACCGGCATGAAGTTATTTATAT